GTCTTGTACTCTTCGGACAGGGTATTGTTGATTCCGAGAAACAAAACCAGCAGCCATGACAGAGCACAGAATAAGTAATTAAAAGAACTCATCTCAAGTTTGTGCTCAAAGCAAAATCTCATGCAATGCTTGTAAATAACCCACTGGTTTATAGTCTCAGTTTTGATTCGAATATTCTCATTCAAAGGCCACGATAAGATAAGTTCTACAAAGTAGTAATTTAGATGCATTTTACATCAAGTCAATTGAATACAGCTGTAAAGGCCTTTTAATTTTAAGCCAATAACACAAAATGTTGATACTCAGTATTGTCGATGTCAAAACTGTTGGAAGAAAGTCCAACCCCATGCATGTGAACACATGGATTTTCCATGTGAAAGTTTGCTTCACAAGCCTATAAGCCAATTGTGGGCTAGATTGATTTGTTGAAATTTTTCAAAGACTGCATGTTGACCCATTTAATTGGCAAAGAAAATCTTGACGGGATGGTAATGAGGCAAAGAAAAATGGTGCATGGGTAGTTGGATTTTTCACTATAAATACCCATGCATGCAAAGGCAATGGGCAAGTAAGAGTAGGAGAAAGCAAGAGAAATTGAGGGAGAGCTATTGGGAGAGAAAAGAAAGAGAGAAATTGTGAGAAATCCTTGTGTAGATTAAAAGAGAGTATTAGAGAGAATTTAAGAGTTTCTATAGATTGAAGCTAGGAGTTGAAAGCTTCTTAAGTGAAAGAACTTTCAGATTATTGTATTTTTTTTTAATAGTGGATTTATTTCTCTTTTTCTTGTAGACGTAAACTTGTTGAGAGGTGTACAAGCCGAATCACGTTAAATTGTTGTCTCAATTTCTTTATCACTTTCGTTTGTGTGGGATTGTGGTATTCGAAATTCCCAACAAAAACATCTTATTCAGCATTTATATTTCTATTGGTCTGTTCATATGAACGAAGGAACAAAGCAGAAACATGAGGCTTGCAATAGATAGAACTAGGAGCCATATATTTCTGCAGTGAC